AATTTAATGTTACTCTGTATGATGTAATTTTTATACTCGTGTAATGAAACATATCATAAATGGATGTATCATATTTCTACTTTGGTTTCATTTTGAAATAAAGTATTTTTTTGGTAGAGTACTAAAAATGAATTATGTGTTTTTGTGCATGTTTCTGACACAGTTTTTCTGTTTTATTTTACAAACTTTATTAAATTTTGCACCATAAAATATTATTATAACACTGTCTATTCTTAGCTTGTTAATCTGAATACTGTAATTCATTGCTAAAAGGGTAAACCCTGTAAATATCCTGTTTTTGACGTGGCTGTTGCCACCCTGCAGGAGAGCTCAACGTGACGGTCGTTTATTATCAGACCCCGTCGATGTGCTCTCAAAGATCTTTAATAAAACGATCAACTTGCAGTTGGTCCACTTTTTTAATGGATATAAAAGATCTCATTTAAAAGATGGAAAGTGTTACATCGCCATCTACAGGATGAATGCGGTACTGCACTAAAAACCCTTCAATCTAAAGGGTGTGCTCCTCTCTTAACAAGTGACTGAATCATCCAAATGGAGCCCCTCTCCAGGTTGCTGTTCATCCACATGAGCCGTAGGGTCAAAGGTCACCTCAGTCATGTCTGTGATCTCTTCTCATCTGTTGCTGTTGATGATGACAGCTGGTTAACCTCGAGAGCAGAGAGGAAACATTCGGCCCGGCTTTCACAGTCTCCACGTTTTAAGACCGTCCCCTCGACATAACTCACAGTAATAGCTTCCCTTTTAGTGACTGAGGTGCAGCTCTTGGTATGTGCAGAGTGTCAGGAGGGCCCGGCTCGGTGACTGATGTCTCTGTTCTCTAATTAGCTTTATCTGCTGCTTCAGAAGAGGAGGTGCTGTGTTTCTGAATCAGAGGAGATGCTCACATCTGTACAGGATTTATGCACGCTGACAGGATGTTTCATCTTGTGTAGGAGCTGCTCCAGAGGAGACAGATACAGAGGTTTAAAGTCACCTTATTAAAGATAAATTACAGTGTGATATAATGCTTTTTAGTGTCTTGTTTCCAAGGTAATGATGAGTACTATTCTGTAAGGTTTCACTTGTTGCTCTGCTCCAACACAGCTGATTCAGTGATTAAATCACCGCTTCAAGTTCTGCAGAGGCCTGTTGATTAGCCATTCATTCAAATTAGGTGTTGGAGCAGAGAAACCTTTAAAACATGCAGGACAGTACCAGAATTGGAATTATGTTTATATTTATTTATGTTGACTTCCTTTTTGTTTTACTGATTTTATTATGTTTTTTCCAGTTTCCTCGGTCATCAGCCACTTTCTCCTCAGTGAGTTTCTGCCACGCCCACTCTCACCAGTTCCCAGCTCTCATTAACATACTGGATTTCAAATCATAGCATAGCATTTAGCTTTTCTCCTTTGGCCTCCCGTCAAATTCAGAATAGAATTTAAAGGGGGGGGGGGGGGGTAATTTTTAGGCACATCGTTCAATTCTATATGTTCAGTTGTTAAGGAATTAATAATAATAATAATAATAATAATAATAATAATAATAATAATAATAATAATAATAATAATAATAATAATAATAATAATAATAATAAAGATAATATAATAATGATAATAATAATAACTATTTGTAAAGCGCCTTCAAACAAAGCACTGAACAGGAGATAAAATCACAAATAACAAGAGGTGAATTGACAAAAAAAGCAAAGATAAAACCACAGAAAACAAGATAAAACCACAGAAAGCAAGAGATAAAATCCCAAAACAGATCAAAACAATTAAAAAATAAAATTAAGACAAGTAAGATAGTTTGAACAGGTGCGTCTTTAACTTAGCTTTAAAAAAAACAGACCAGAACAAGCCTGCCTGATGTCCTGAGGGAGATTGTTCCACAGAGAGGGGGCACGAGAAGGTGCTGTATATAACACAAATAAATTTGACATTTTATCAGTCTAAAGCATCTAAAAACCTTAAAATTTGGCCTCTGTCTCTTTAAGAACCGCCTACCGTTTCCAACGCTCCCACTTCAGCTTGTCTTTGCAATGATGCTTCGGGGGAGGGGTACTCTGTGGGGCTGCAGACTGAGCTCCAGGGAGGAGCTTTGTGTAAATAGGCGGGGCTTTGTACCAGCAGGCGTTCAGGCAGTTCCACATGACTATCACAGGAGATTCAAGGATTTCTAAAACATGCAGGAATGAGTCAAAGCAACACTGGGTATGTTTTTGATGATATAAATCAGAGGTTCTCAAACTGGGGTCCCTGGAACCCCAGGGGTCAGCGACAGATATCTTGGAGTTCCTCAAAATTTTTTACTAAAATGTTAATTTGATTTTTATTTTTAAAAATACATGAGAACAATGAACTAATAAAACAAACGTGAGAAACTGAATAAAAATATACATTCCTATGGCATTTAGGGGTTGAAATGATAACAAACTGTCTTTTAAAACAACATGGGGTTTATGAGAGGGGTCCCTGGAACTTTTTCCACCCTTGTAAGGGGTCCCCAGACCCAAATGGCTTGAGAACCCCTGATATATATATATAGCTCAAAAAAGTTGATATAGCATAATAAAACTCTTATTCTAACATACAAAGCTCTCAACAATCAAGCTCACCTTGTTGTTGTTCCATATTTTTATAAAAGAGCACTGTGCTCTGCAGCTTTACTTGTGGTAGAGTCTCTAAAAGTAGAATGGCTGCCCTCTCTTGTGATACTAATTTCCAGTTTCTAAGTATAAACTTTCCTTTTTGATAAATACTATAGTTAGGTTTAAGTTTCCTGAGTTCTTCCTTAGTTTTGCTGCTATATGTTTAGACTGCTGGAGGACAATTTGACCACATCACACTCTGCTGTCTTTAGTCACTCTCCTCTGCGTGTTTGTTTTTGTAATTATTTCAGTAACATGTTTTTCTTTGTCTCTGTTCTTGTAAAAAATGATGCCTGGACCAGTCACTCTGTGTTTGTCTCTGTCCTGTCCTCTCAAACCCAGCCGGTCGAGGCCGATGGCAACTCGTCCTGAGCCTGGTTCTGGTTCTGGTTCTGCTGGACGTTTCTTCCTGTGAGTTTTTCAGTTCCACTGTCGCCCTGTGCTGCTCAGGATGGGAGAGTGTGACAGAGTGAAGAGTCAGCACAATCTGCTGGCTTCTTTAGATTGAAAACTTTTACTAATTGTTTTTTTTTTTATAATGTATGAGAGTGTTTTTGCACAGTGCCCGGAAACAGCATTCCCTGTGACTTGGGGCTACATAAATAATTATGCCAGGTGTTTCCACTCCACCCATCAGCACCTTTTAATCTTTTAATCACTCAGTTTTCACGTCTTCCTCTTCCCTTTATCCACTTTCTTTACAAGAACCAAACCACATTTAGACATTTTCACTTTTGATCTGTTTAGAAAAAAGAAAAAGCTCACCCTACAGAACAGTACAACTTCAATAGGTGTAATGGTAATATTCATTAAATCGATCATTATGACCTTTGTATTCCTTGTATACAAACGTAATTTACGCAGATACCTACAGTCGTACAGCATGTGTCTGGGCAGAGGTCGCAGAGAAAGGATGGGGGTGTGGAGGGAGTGGGGGTGGCGTTACAGACAAGCTCGTCTTTGATAGCTCAGGTGGTCATTACCTGAGGGGGAAAGAAAGCATTAATGGGCATTCTCTGCTGCAGACAAGCACAGGCTAGTGTGCTCCTCTTCTCTGGCTGCCATAAATGGGCCGGGGGGAAGGGGGGGGGGGGTGTACGCATCATTAGATTAAGCTGAGGCTAACGACCTGCAGCCAAGCCCACCTCATACAGTAGCAGGGCGCACAGGCCCCACATACCTCCGAATGGATGGGGGCGACAGTGGCTTCAGAAGCACCATTAGTGATCTGTCATTCTGCAGCAGGGATTTCACTTTGCGTCATGCTTTCAGTGAGGTCTGCCTCTAGCAAAGGTCCAGAATATATTGATTTAAATTCTCTCCTAGTGGCTGCCATGCTAGTTTTCTTCACACATAGTTTATATACATGTTTTGGACCCATATCTTTCCTTGGGCTTCACTCTCTGAACAAAGAAGCAGACACATGATTTACTGTAAATGTTTTCTGGGTCCAGATACATTGGGATCCCCACTCCCAAAAAAATAAAAAATTAAAAAGTCTACTGAAGCTCAGGTGTGTAACCAAAATGAGCTCAAAGGAAAAACATCTTTGAGGCTAAGCTTCAGCAGAATTTAAACCTTTAGATAAAAAAAAATGTTCAGAGCTGCGTATTGTTGTTGATGTAAAAAGTTAAAAGAGAAAAAAGGGGAGAGGAATTTGCCTGAGAGGGAGAACCAGTGCAGGTATGTAAGGTTGCCTGTCACTTTGAGGCGCCTGATAGCTTAACCTATCATCTTATCACGGTGTCATCTTGTCACATTTATTGACGTATTGCGCCGTGGATCTGATGCTCCACCTTGGAGCAGATCTGTGGAGGAATGCCTGCGCACGGAGGTCTGACACAGCTTTGTTTTCCAGTTAAATGCTCCAGCTAGAACATGGGATTAAACTGGGAGAAAGTTAAACTAATCTCTACTGAAGTGGGCTGATTAAGGTGGAAAGGCCTTTCCAGTTCTCCATGGGTGGGACAACTGAATCCCAGGTCTGGCCAACAGGAGAGGACGCTCAGATTTGTGAGTCTATGGAAGACCCCAGTAAACTGTGGTTTTTACTCTGTAAAACTGGGATTACAGGACTCCAGAATGAACTGTGTGATTACTGGTCCACAACATTCAAATGACAACTAACTCACCTCTTTGATGGCTTTGTTTTAATTTGCCGTGCTGAGTTCTACATGGTTTTATTTCAAGAGATTCAACAAACTGCAAATTAAAGCATTTTGTGTTGACAGATACAATCAATACAGTCACTGTGTGCCAGCGATGTGACATTTGGTTTATATAAGTCTGAGGCAACAGTAAAGAAAAAAAAACAAACAAACATAATTTAGTTTTTGTTTGTTCTTGTACTTTAAAGCACCTGTGCCATCAAAATATTTTTGTAATAAATCTGAATGCATTTTTGAAAAGATAACACTGATAACATGTTGCCAAAAAAACTGCTCACTTGAACAGTTGAGATGTTAGCAAGTGAAGCAACAGGAAGTGATGTCAAAGGGGAATGTCTGACAGGAGAGAAAAATCTGGTTTCTCCTGACAGGGTGAGGAAATAATCTTCTTGGATTGCTCACTTTGTGGCCTGTCTCTGACCTCATGGAACTTACCAGCTTTAAGTTGCCCTATCACACAGGTCTTCTCCAGACCAGTCAAAAGGGGCATGCTAATATTTGGTTCAGACACATACTGACCACTGTAGCTCAGTCACGCACCTGATTGGCAGCACCTGCATAGGGTTACTAGAGGTGCCAAACAAACAGCAACAACAAACTGTTTGGCAGAAGATTCTCCAAATTTTTCATGTGTGCAACCCACAGCTCTACTGCTCATCCCACAAATGTATGTTCCTTACAAATGTGGCACCAGGCTTTCCAATCGTATAAGACAGGGTTAATCAAAAAGCGGCCTGCAGACCACGACTTTCAAACACAAATTGACTTACTTTTTGTGCTAAGTTTGTATTTTCAACGTTTTAAATCTTGAGAGCACAGAATGGTTTCCACTTTCAACTCAGTCTTTTGTTTTCTGTATGATTGAAGTTTTCAGTTCTGTTTATACTGCACCATTTCACCAAAGAAGTTATCTCAGGGCACCAACAAAAGTCTCAAAAAAAGGGTCTAATCTAATCCAGAGTCTAATCTCAGAGAAGGAGGACATGCAGCTTGTTTCTTCAGAGATTTCTTCAGCTCCAACAGGTTCTGATGGCTCTTCATATAAAAGGAATCTGCAGATAAACAATCGACGTTATAACTAAATTGTTGGACAGAAGGTCCAAACTGTCATGTTGAAATCAGACGGATGAACTCCTCCCTGTTTTTCCTTCTGAAACACTTTCTCTCATCTCTCGCCAACTTCGGTGTTGACTCCACCTGATTAATAATTATGTGCCCAATTAGCTTCTTCTTTTCATGAAGATGTTTTCAGAGGTGCTAACTTTTTTTCTCCTCAACATTTTTATCACCTGTCACTGAAGGCGAGAGAGAGTGAAACTATTATTGCTCGTGCCTGTTTGTTTTTGTTGTGTTAAAAAATTATCTCATGAACAACTGGATGGATTAGAACAAAACTTTCAGAATTTAGCCAACAGAAGAAAAAAAACTTGAACTCTGATTTTGCAGATATTGAGCGATGAAGCCTTCAGAATGTAACCACTGGCTGTACATCCACAACTCTGCTGCAGATAATAAACCTCAGCCTGCACACAAATTACTAGAATTTAGTCAGTTTTGCTGATGCTGAGCTAAAGATTGATGTAGTAGTAGCTGAGAGTTACCCTCAGAAATCCTAGATAGAGCAGAGAAGGGAAACTATTGAGCGGAGCTGTGTAGGAAGGTGAGGGCCAGGCTAGTCTATCCCCATTATCGTATGATCTTAGTGCAAAGCATGAAAGATGGCGGGCGACAAGCATTATTTTTAAGGGGCGATTTCATGTAAAATCAACTTTTTGAGTTTTATATCATGTTATAATTTTATCTTTTCATCAAAAACATGTCCAGAGTCTTGCTTTAACTCATTCATGCATGTTTGAGAAATCCTGTAGTGTCCAGAGGCAGCCAGGCAGGGGAGCAAAAATGACTTGTTGGGCCTAGAACCGTCTTTTGGGATCAGCTCCTCCTCTGGGCTGTGTCTCCAAGCAAAGCTTCCTCATCACACACACCCACCGGCCTCGTGCTGAAATGGGCGGGACAGAAGCGGAAGGAGGTTCTTTTTTTTGTGTCACTTCAGTAGAAAACGAAACCAAATATTAGTTTGTTTAGTTTATTTATTTCTTCATCATCAGTGACTTTTTTTAAGTGAAGAGAAAATAGAAACAGAGAGAAAAACAGAGAGAGGTAATTAGAAAGATAGAAAGATTGAAATARCGATTAGAAGTATATTAAATATACACCAACAAAACACAGGACCACACACCCAACATCTGTCCGCTCACCTGAAAAATAAATGGATAAATACATGGAGGGCATATATAAAAATATATACACATACTCATACGTATATAAAGATATACATACATACATGCCTACATTCATAAATATTGTCAGTATATACACACTCAGTGACCAGTCAGAACCCCTGGATCAGAGCACCTGTTTGTGAGCAGTTGTGAACATGCGTGTATATACAAGATTTCTCCAATGGAATATTTAATAGTGACTGTGGAGGACCGAGACCCAACCCCCAAGACACGAGGCAGACATAGGGAAGACCAGAGTCCAAGGGCCTGAGAGGGATCCCGAGCGCAGAGCCCCAAGGGGCACCCGCACGGGAAGATCCATCCGCCCACCGGAGGAAGGAGGTTCTGAAAGAGACAGAGGCCAATTTCAAGGTGTTTAGAAACAGATATGATGAGAAGTCAAGTTTATTATCTATTTAAACATATAAACATTTTAATAACTGAATGTGATATAGTTACTTTATTATGGTATAGAATTTAAATATAGGCCTTAGAAACACATAATACTGCCTCTTTAAGAAATACTGGGTCTTTAATTTTTTCTGAATCTCTTATTGCTGATGAATTTTTCAGCATATTTAGGTTAAACATTAAGTTGTCTCTACACATTTTTGTACATTGTTTCTTTAAAATCCTTTGAAATAATTTCATGAATGGTGGGATAAACAGAGTCCCCTTGTGACTTTTAAACATTTGATCAATAGATTTTAATTTGACTGTCCCTAAAATCTACCATTTAAACGCAGGTTCTAGTTTCCAACAATGAAGTTTACAATGAGCAGTAAACAAGTTTATGTTACTAAGTGCTCCGTGACATTTACAACTCATTTTTATAACTTATTCGTCCGACCTTTGAGTTACTCCCTAATTGAAGTAGTGAAATTTCACAATATTGAGCAAATGAATTTGCAAGATGCAACAGGCAGCGTGCTGTTTTCCTGGCTGTCTGCATACCGACGTGACCACAGTCTAAGTGTTACTCTCTTTATCTCTGCTCCCTGCGGCAGCGTTACAGAAAACCCTGTGTTCTCCTTCCAGAAAAGACTCGTCCTCACATCTTCTGTGGGATATGTACATTTGTTTGTGTTTACGCCCGAAGCAGGGTGTTTCATGACAGCTCTTTCATTTATATAAAGCAACATCTCTAAGAAATCACATAAGGGCCGGTGTTGCAAATTCTTATTTGCTGCAAAGACAACAGTCAGATTTGGTTTCTCCTTTCACCTGAGCTCTGCATGGGAGTGCTTTATTTTTTATTTTTTTCTTTTGAAAGATTGATGCCTGCATGCTTACCTGGAGTCAGTCCTGAATACGTGGCTGTGAGCTGCTTCATACTGACTGACAGCTGCTCAATATTCTTATTCAGCAACACAAGCAGCAATCAGTGTAAATCATGTCACTCACAGACGCTTTAAGCGCTGCAAGAAAGATTTTTTCAACGACAGGTTGATTTGTTGTTATTTCTGTCTAATTGTCTCACTTGTCACAGATACACACGCTTATGACTCACCCCCCACCCCCCCACCCCCACGCCCACATAATGGACTCGTTGCTGAGGGGAAAATTTTCCCCGCAGAGCTTCACTAAAGGAGACACCTCCGGCCAAAGCTCGTGCAGATCCTTCGCCACTCAAAGCCCCTGACTTTCCAAACCGTCTGCCAAAAGTCGTCTCGGCAGCACCGTTTCTGCTGCACACGTGTTTTTAATCACCTGCTGCAGAAGGTGCGAGGAGAGAGTGTGTCTGCCTGTTAGCAAAATATCTCATAAGATGCACAACTGATTGACTTTAGGGCATCGATCGGATTCAAGATGGCCGTCAACAAAACCACAAAAAATGACGACTTATTTTTTTGTACCTAGAGTTCTAGGTGGCAGAAGATGAAAGTGACCCTGAACATATGTTCTGAGTGTTAACAACCTGCACAAGAGCTTTGTATGAAGCAGGAGGGTCAAACTCTGTTACACAAGGCAGCCACTATTTCAAACTTAGTCCAAGCCAAGGGTCAATTTCTGTCAGTATTTATTGAAAGCATGTTGTCTAACTAATTCTTCTTATAGAAATACAAGTTACTTTCTCCAAATTATGCTTTATGTAGCATTTAGAACATTCATAATCTAACAGATAAAGAAAAAAAATCTGTTTAGAAAGATTAACATTCATTTCCAATGCCTTACTCTCTATCAACAAATCAGGTAAAAGAAAACCCTCGCTAAAAGTGCCATTATTTGACTTTAAAATAAGAAAAGAAAATAATAATTAAAGTCAATTCTCTGTTCAATGCACCAAAGTCAAAGATTACAAATTCCAACTTAATTTTCTTGGCTTGAACGTTGGCCAGCTGTCATGAGAAGAATGCACTAAATACAGTAATTAAAAGAGCAACCATACAACTATTTCACATTTAAAGTATTACCTCTGGGGCCGGATAAAACGTTGAGGGCCAGATTTAGCCCTCGAGCCTTGAGTTTGACACGTGGTTTAAAACTTAACATTTTATTATTATTAATTGGAGTCAAAACTGTCAAAAAATGTCATGACCCACTGGAAAAATTTTATTGAAACTTTCATTAAACATGGATGGATGTCTACAAATAATTAACATCTCCGTTTAATTAAAGACCAGCTGACTTTAGCAAATATAAAAAGGATTATAACTCAGTCGATCTAACAACTATTTGGTTTAAATTCTGTCGTAGCTGAAAGTCATTCACAACACATACTTAATGCAGTCAGACGTGGCAACAAGCCTCTACCAGTGTTCTCTCTCAGTTAGTTGTGAATCATCAGAGGTGCACAGCAGGGTTCAAAGGAAAAGGAACTCCAGTTACCTCAGCAAGACAACAAATTACTTTGACCCATAGATCCTGAACCCCCAGATGTTCCCAAACAACATGGATTAAAGAGTGCACAGTCCTCAGGGAGCAGAACGAGCAATAAGGGTTTGATGCAGAGCCTGTGTCTATGCTGCCAAACATGCTCCACGACTAAACTTCATGTCTAACAGTAGATAGGGTTTAGAAGCCGTTTCAACATGACGCCCAATTCAAAATGTTGTTTTTCAAGTTTAATTAAAATGTCTAATTCTTTGTCCTTTCTCAACATAATCTAAAACCCTGACCTTAAAGGCAGCAGATGATTAATCTTCAAGACTTGTAGGATTTTAATTTAGTGACAGATTCGGTTCATATGAAACATTTTATATGAACAAAATTATTTTCTTCTAGACCACACTTGTGCCAAAATGTCACCTTCATTATCTTTTAATATCCCATTAGTAATTAAAAGTTTTATTGAGCCCGATACAAAGAGGATCAAGTTTTCTTTTTCAAATATGATTTGAACACATGTATCTCACACACAGCATCACAACACTTATTACCATTAATTATAACATATATAATCAGTGGATTAACATAAATTTGGATTATAATTTAAGGAATTTTCCTGATGCTAACAGGGGGATAAATGCCTGTTTAGAGAAACAGTAAAACAAAGAGGTTGTTCTTTGAAGGAATGTATTTTGCATTACTTACAAAGATCTTATCCAGTCTATTTGTGCTCAGGGTTTGTGTTGGGAATGACTCTCAGCTACCACCACAGCTTGATTTCTGTAAAACTGGCTGAGTCAGAAACATTTTTGCGTTAGACGTGGATTGAATCACGCAAGTGTTCACAAAGAGGTGAACCTCGCCCCGTCCTTGCTTGTGAACGACTGAGCCTTTCAGGGATGCTCGCTTCATACCCAGTCATGACCCTCACCTGTTTCCAGTTAACCTGCTCACCTGTGAATCGGGTTGACGCCACAGTTGTAGATGTGCATCCAGTGGTTATGATTGCACATTTCCACTATTTAATGACAAAACAAAATCAAACTGATGTTTTTTCCTTGATTTATTTCTGTTTTTAGATTCACACACACATCTGTTCCTGCATTAACTCTATTATTTCTGTCTTTCTAAACGTAGAAATCTATTCAGTTCTGCATTTTAAGCCTATTTAATGAAGTCAGCGGAAAAAAAAACTTTGGCCAAATCATTTATTTACTGTCCATCCTCCTCATATCTACACCACACCTACAGGTGTGCTCGTTCACAGCAGGTCAATTTGTTCCCACACATTTGGCCTTGATGCCCCCTATAAATGATCCATTCTGACTGTGCACAGGGAAGGCAAACGGCACAGTGATCCTCTCTAAGGAAACATGGGGACTTTCCTGACCTTCCTCATGGTTCTGATGTTCTGTAACCTCCACAGGGCACAGGAACACAGCAGAGATGATAGAGATGGTGTTGAGAGCAACGAGGTCCTGGATGAGACTCAGAGGTCTGGGATGAAGGACGATAAAGAAGAGCTTCAGTCAGACATCTGGGAGGAGCTGAGAAATCTGCGGTATGTGTTCACGGAGCAAAGAGCTGAGCTGGAACGACTGACAGAACGAGTCACGGCTGCCGATCGGCTGGCACAGGCCTTACAGGAGGAGATTACAGGTGACCATGTTTCAGCCGCACAACTAAACAGGACTATACGCACATTTATTTTACAGTCATGAGGATCAGGATGACCGCAGCAGAGATCCAAGCTGAGGAGATGCAGATGGAAGGAGAGAGTGACAGCTTTGTTGTGTTAAACCTGGAACCTTCAATCCTTTGCTGTTTTTAATTTCTTTATCAGCTCAAGCTGCAGAACTCGCTGTTATTCAACAAACCGTCAGCACGGTGCAGGAGAGCGTCTCAGACAACCTGGATCACCTGGTGGAGCTGCAGCTGCAGCAGGAAGGTAAAAACCTCAAGGAATCATTTGGACTTCTTTGAAGTGGTGTTCTGTGAAGATATTATTGGTAATCAATATCTTACCTGAAAAAAAAATTGCTCATAGCGTTATCAGTTTGAAACATGAAGCAGAACATGTTTTTTATGAATCTGAGCTAACTGGCCAGTCTGTGCAGCCTCTATTTATATATAATGTTTTGTGAGTTTTCAGAGGAGTAATTTTAGTTCATACAGTTAGTTTCATAAGAATATCAGAATATGTTGTTGACTTTATTTTTTTTTTTAGGAAAAGTGGCTTTTTCCACCTCTCTGTACAAAACTGGTGAAGGAATCACACACCACTCAATCTTTGCCACACTTGTCTTTAAAAACGTCTTTACTAACTATGGAAACCACTACAACTCCATTTCAGGTAGGCCTCAAAGTCTTTCATGTTTATTTGTTTAGGGTTGTTTCTTTGTGGAGTTTGTGTGCTCTCCCTGTGTTTGTGTGTGTGTGGCTGGGTGTGTTCTCCAGGTACTTCTGTGCCCTTACAAAGTCCAAAAACATATATTCCATGCTAACTGGAAATTTTAAATGGACTGTTGTTGTGAGTGTGTATGTACATAGTTTGTCTCTATGCGTGGTCCAGTGATGGACATGTCCAGGGTGTAACCCACCTCCCTCTCACTGACCACCAGAAGGATACAGTAGGCACAGGTGTTTGTGTCCCTGATCGGGATTAAGGATTTTCGAGTTATCTTTAATGAATTGATCCTTGGTTCTAGGGTTGGACCATAAAACATCACAATGTAAGTGTTTCATATCAGTCGATATCAATAGTTACTGGACAGAGCAGGTGGGTAGAGTAGCTTTAGTAACTGTTGTGTGTTATCACAATCTTCAGTCCTGGTTCATCTGTAAGTTTTATTTCCCTACATAAATTTTGTAAACTTACATAAGTGAAAGTATTGACACTCTATCGTTTCTGTTGATATTGTGTTCACTGCAAGATACATCGTTATCGTCTTATCATCCAGCCCTGGAGTGAGCCTAAGAGGAGGCCCAATATGTTTCCATGGTTTTTAGTCCTATTACACTTGGTCTCGACCAGACAAGATAAGAAGCTTGTTTAATCTGTTATTGTTTCTGAGCAGCACTCTGATCAGAAATCTGTTTGTTTCAAACAACTATTCAATGTTGTTAAGAACATATCCATGTCAGTTGTTTTACTTTGTATTAAAATATCACAGAATAAATATATTGATATCAATTTATATGGACTATCCATGAAAAAAAATGATATCAAATTTATTTGACATCTTAGAGCCTGTAAGGACAAGCAAAGTTCGCCCCCTCATCATCCTCCTCTTCCCCACTCTGCTCCCCTGCAGAAACCTGGATACAATAGCCAATGTATAAAATAAATTAAACAGTTTACTATTTTGGATCATTTAAAAGCAAAATGTACAACTGTTCATTCTGAGATAACTTGAAAATGGATTCAGAGGTGCAGTTACTTTATGCTTATGAAATTATTTAGACATTCAATCGGTCCGCTATAATTTGAAAGCCTCTTTCTCTCTGCTTAATGTCAGCAGCATTATTTTGCTTTTTTTCCATTTTAACCATTGCTTTGCTGGAAAGAAGTGGGACTCATGCGTCTTGCTGAGCATGTTAAATCATGAATCCTGTCTTCCATCCAGCGGGCTTTAGAAAACCATGAACCTGTATTCATCCGGCATGATTTATACCTGGTTTAAATTAGCCACCCTGTTGAAACGTGGCTTGACACTTCTGCAACCAATTATGCTTGTTTACAAGTTAAAGGATTATTCAAGTGTGGCTTACAGCCGATATCCTGAATGTATAAACCTTACTTTCAAGACCCGTGCAGGCCATAGATGCTACTAAAAAATACATACATGCATCATTTGCATCTGTTCTATTTTCTGCTTGTGTTTTAGGCCACTTCACCGCACCATTTGGAGGAGTTTACTACTTCAGATTTACAGGCCACACTGCGCACGCTACAGACAGTATGGTGTTGAAACTTGTCAAGAATGAAGAGCCAATTGTTTGTTCGGGGGATCGTCGCACCACAGCCACAGATCCTGAGGACAACGCAGCTAACGGAGCGGTGCTGCAGTTACAAACTGGAGATCTTGTTTCCATACAAATGGTTGGAATGGTCTGGGATGATCAATATCATAGAACAACTTTTAGTGGATTTCTGCTGTTTGCTTTATAGTTGCCTACAAAACAGGGGCGGTTCTAGGGACAGGCCATGGAGACGTTGGCCTTAGCTGACATCTGATTGGCTCCCTGAAGAGCCCCTGTCCTGTCACTCGATGGGTGATGCAGTTCCCAGTCCAAACCCTATTGAGTCAAATAATAAAGTCCAGCATTAAAGAGGATTTACTGCGCAAGCTTTTTTTTAATTAAATCATATTACATTACAAATGGCCTGATAAAAACCAGCCCCTTGTTCTTCACTTTACTTCATATAGAGGGTCTGGACACTCTGCTATTGAGAAACATTTGCTTGCTGGAAGCGTGGCCTCTGTTGAAGTGATTGGATCTGATTTACCCAATCGCTAACGTTTGGCCGTGACGTATGTGGTGCGCCAGCTCGATGTAAAGGAAGCTACGCTGAGAAGCTAACTGGAAATTGTGTGAGCTGTAAACAGCCATCCCCTACTGGGAAGAGAGAAAGACTGAGCCGAACGACAAGCTGTAAAATAAAAAGTGCTGCATGCTTTGTGAGACAAATTTAGTTTAATTTGGAAGCCTTGTCAACACAGATTGAATGCCATCATTTAAAACTCCTCCTCCTGTTCACCGATTGGCCCAGTTGAATTTCTACAGGAGAAATCCATGTCGGGGGGAGACAGCACAGAAGCAGCAGAGAAGGCCAGACTGCATTACAAGTGTTTGAACATGTGTGACTGGTTAAATGTATAAACTTAATCAAAACCAGGGATTTGTCTGCAAGAATGTTGAACAACTATATGTGCCCTCAACAAATATTGTGGTCCCTCTATGGCCCCTTGCTTTAAAAAAATCCTACAAACAGTGATTTGGTTTGAATATCATCAATCAATATATCAATATTGAGCCGACTTCTAACAAATCTCTAAACAATATGGAGTTCTTTTAAAAAAAAGTTTGGGAACAAATAGTATATCAAACTTATAAAACATGAATGTTGACTATTCAGATGTTTGAGCCACCTTTTCTCCTTTTTATTTTGTTTCCACCTCCCATTCAGTTCTGTTCACTATTTACTGTTCACTGTTCACTTCCAGTCACAGGTACATCTTTGTCTCTCACGATCCGCCTTCTTCTGCCTTGTTGTCCAAATAATAAAATAAATGCTCAATTTCAAAATAAAATTCTCACATTTTTTTTGTTTACTTTGAACACAAAGGCAGAATCAAAAAGTTGAAAACAAGATGTCCACCACTGTAAATATTCTTTTGTAACAGCGTCACATTAAACTTGTTCAAGTCATCCACTTCAGAAAAACTGGCTCCCATTTAAAGGAAACAACCTTCCCACCTTTAAATGTGCAGTAAAAACTCATGTAAATGCATCATTCTGCTCATTGTAGTTCAAATATCCACAGATAGGATTAATAAAACATGAAGTAGTGGTATAGTGAAGTTTTGTATAATATGTTAAAATGATCAAACATCAAGTTATTGAAACAGCAAGTCATCTGCAGCAGGTGATGTGAACCTTAATGTGAGCCAATCATCAATCTTTCTTTAAATAAATGCACTTCTTCTTTTCAGTAGTCAATTTTGAATAAGTTGGACACTTTAAATTATATAGAAAAAAAGGGGGAAAATGCTCAGCAAATTCCAGAGATAAAAGTGGGAGAAAATGACAAGTCATGAATGTGATCATTGTTTCCTTTCCTTTGGTGTTTCACATCATAAACCTCTGGGAATGCAGCTGCATCAGCGTTGGAGCTTTGACTAAATCCATTCAGACTCTTTGTTGTGCAGTCATTCGGATCACATACAAACACACACACACACACACACACACACACACTCAAAACACCACACCTCTGTTATCGACTATCTAGTATGGCTCTGATAACCTCGACACACAATGCAGAGCAGCATGAGCCACAAAATTTATTCTCCGTTCTGATGACTTCATGAAGAAGATAATCAGTCGCCGTTTACGTCGACAAGTTATCAGATGGTAACAACGTCACCTCTTTCTTGCTGAAAGCCATTATGACACTCTGGAACACTATACTCTCACCACTGAGACTCTTTATGTCTTAAAGAAAACATACGCCAGGATGGAAGGAAAAGGTCAAAGGAATAATTCAGCTGTGTTTATGAAAACAGCCTAGAATCTGATGAGGTGTTTAACTCTAACCTGAAGCTATAGATAGTATATATACTGTGTATATATATATATATATATATATATATATATATATATACGCTACAAGTCTCATCATACAGCTGCCAATACCGTATCCTCTCCAGCACCCGGGGCTGTGTGAAACCAACACTCTGGTTTCCCTCTCACAGGCACCTCTTGGGTTGGAAACATTTTTTCATAATTGCCTTTAATTCTATGTTAGGTGTCCCCACGGTGCCACTACTAAGGTTAAGGCTAAGCCGGAGAAGCTTCCCAACCTTTTTCATCTCGTCTCCTGCTCGTCTAAAAGTAGCTCGAAAACACACAAAGACATTAAGTTGTATCCCTGTTATTGTCCGTGTCTGAAAGATTCCCATGCACACGGCGTTTTAATTAATCGTCTGTGTGTTATTTTGTGGGATCCTTCTGTTTTGGCACAATCTGGAAGCCGATGAATGCATCGGATCTGGGTTAAAAGTCTTTAATGAGAGAGGGATTTCCCCCCCATTTGAAAACCTTAGTCATTGTTTCATTAAGATAGTCTTTCATTTGACTTTCTTTTTTCTCTCTCTCTCAGGGAAGCTTAAGGTGTGAAGGCTCATTAGAGTCGTGACAGAGTTTGGGAGGGTTTGCACGTCTTTTCTGTCTCACCTTTTTTTTCTTTTTTGCAAGAAGATCAGCTGAACTGTGGATGTTTTGGTCAGGGCTGAATTCATGAGAAAGGGCTTGGGAGAGAATCACTTACAGCGTTCGCGAGGGCATCGTCTTGGTGGGTCAGGATTCCACTGCTTACAAGAAAAACAAAACACACACAGTAAAACAGTCAAAACAGGCCGATGTGTTGGAAAAAAAAAAGAAAGAAAAAAAATTGGTGAAAGTGTACAGGCTGCTCATGCCTCCACTTGTAAGTATGTGTTCATGCACAGAGAGAAACACACATAACAAGGGGAATGACGGTGCTGCGTCTTCTGACTTTGAAATTAAAGGACAGATTCATTATGGGCTTAAAAAGTCAACCCTGGAAAGAAGAAACAGCCCTTTGAGAGATTAGGATCAAATCTGAATAAAGAATAACTAATTACGGGGTGATTCACGGCAAGAACAATGTAGCAACTGCACAGTAAATTAAAGGAGATCATCAAAATATAAATTAATTTTTTTTCTGATGAAAGCGTCTGGAGGGGAGCCATGAGAGCAGTTTATGAAACGGTTGTAAACAAATGGGAGCACCCCCAGCAGGCGCTATCAGTCTTCTTTCCGCGCTCCGAAAAAACATGTTTGGTGCAGGCAACAGGCCCCAAGGCGAGTTAGGAGTAAATGTGCATTCCTTTCTGCCTGATTTAAAAGAGAAGTCTCGCCTTTTTTCCTCCCTCTCTCTCTCTCTCTCTTTGCACATTTAGCTGATCATAGAGGAGCGAGAGGCCTTCATTGATCAAAACCAGGGGGCTACAGAAAGTCACAAGTCACGTGACCCGACACTTTATCTGAGGATCTTTTTGGCAGGTTTAAAGGAGGCGCTTTTGTGATTTCAAAAGGCTCAGTGAATGAGGCAGGATTTCATCGGCAGGAGAAAAAGATCTCCAGTTCTTTAATCAAGGTTTTCTGATAGAAGAAAGTTGCAAACACACAAAGACACACGCACAAACACAGGCGTGCGCAGAGAGGGCAGCACCCGAGCTGACATTTCAGTGGAAACGAAGCCCTACGTCGCGGCCACAGCGTCCAGATGCATATCTACTCAGAGTCCTCTTTCATTCATCAGCATATCTACCCATCAGATGGCCTTTAGAACTACAAAACCTCAGGGATGCCTTCAGAAATGTGCCGTTTCACCTCAAAAATCGGTTCGTGGTTTTAGTTGCCATGCAGGAGCCTAAAACTGGGAGCCAGCTGGACTGATTTTTACGCTGTCGGGCTGAGAGGGGCTCCAGCGAGAGCAGAGTCAGTCAGACCTGCTGGTCTGGACCTGCAGATCCACACAAACCTGGATCGCCCTCGATAAGAGAAAAAAAACAGCAGCAGCAGCCAAAGTGGAACTGCTGATGAGAATCGCGTACAGGTAAGGAGGGTAAGTGCTTTTGCAGACCGTTTTAAATACATCTAAACTTCACATCTTTTGGTCCTTTTTGTTGTTTTCCGTGTTTGATTCAAAAGCTGAGTGGCATGTGAGACGACTGTTTCAACCACTGGAAGGGCGAGGACAAACAGAAAAAGCCGAGGCCCTTACGAAGTCACTTCCTGCAAACTCTCCTCACTTTTCCAATGTATAAAACAAACAGGGTGTTGATTAGAGAGCGAGGGGGGAACCTCTTCACTTTGATGGCCGCTAACGCAATGATTACCAAACAGCCCTGTTATTTAACAAAAAAAAAAAAAAAAAAGGAGATTTGACTGGTAGATTTTTCCTTACAAAAATTCCCACTCATTTCAGTGAGACACTTCAGTGAAAAGACAACGAATAGAAAAGTAGGATGACGCAGTTTTTATTTGTCTTGGCTGGATGCTTATCTGCCATGATGATATTTGTTTGGATAAACACCTGACTCTGGGTGGCCTTAAGGGTTCTTGAAAGTCAAAAGTTGGATTTGCGACTGTGACTGTCCGCTGCACCTCACTCTCCGTTTGGTTTTGAAGATCTGGAAACAGAAAATGGTTTTGTTTGTTGTCTTATAATACGGTGCTTTTCAAATTAAATGAGCCTTGTATGATGAGAAATGACCAAACCATTTAGATCAAGATTTGGAACAGAACGATTTGTGATGCTGCATGATCTTGTGCAAACTGTGAGTTTTTGGAGCGTGTGTTGGAAATGACTCTCAGCTTCTACCACACCAAATTATTACCCAAATTTTACAGAAATGAACGAGTTTGAGACATTTTTTTGGCTTTTAGTGTAGGAATTTGGAAGAGGGCACTGACACTTTCATGTTCACTGCTGGATTAGAATGTTGCCAAGACTCAAGGCCCGCCCCCACTTTTGATTGGCTAAAAGGCAGCTATGGACACTGGCATAAAGTGATGAAGTGTC